CACCTCTTCTGTATTATACTTAAAATTAATTTTCAGTTGCAGCGAGTCCCAATTCATGCCCTGCCCCCAATGGGTCAACATAAGGATTTCCACAGCTCAACAGCTCACAGCTCCTGGTGCTGGATGATGGGTGTATGGTGGGGTGGGGGCCCTTTTCCCTCTGTGGGGATAACTTCCATCTGTTGCTCAGCTCAACTCAGCAACCACCCACCTCCAGCCTCCCCAGCTAATTAATCACTCACTTTCTGTCAGCCTTGATGCGATTCGCCCAAACCACCACCCTGAGCAGCAGGAAGTCTGACTCGGACTCCAATTAGCAGAGGAAGTGGCCGACTCCGGGAGGCGGAGGGGCGCATAGGGCAGAGAAGGGAGGGATGAACAGAGTTGTTGGGGGCGCAGAGAAAATTCAACGACCTCCCTGGAACTTTCATCCTTTGGAAGTCACAGAAGACAAGTTCAGACTTTCAATAAGTATTAAGTGAGCACCTACTGTACACATACCCCGATTTTTGGCGTGCCAGTAATAAACAAGACAGACAAGGTCCCCATCCTGTCTTCATAGGGCTGATGTTCTAGACAAATAGCAAATACTCTGCTCGTTAGTGATAATTGCTGTGACAAAAAATGATATCTAAGCCACCCTCCCTGTCAGAGCCTCGTGGAGGTTTAAAGTCGCCTCTCACGCCCCTGTCTGATTTTTCTCCTGCGGGCACAAGCCCCCTACCTTCCCTCCCCACTCCTCATGTGGCACGTCCTTTATTATGGCGTGACGCCTGCTGAGCCCAGCACTGGTCTGCCCTCAGATGTTTGGTATTGTTATTCGACAGAAAAGGAAACTGAGGCACACGGGAAGAGAAAGATGGAGCTGGAGTTAGAGACCAGGCCCCGGTGCCACATTCCTCATCCTTCTGAGGGCTGCTTTCCTGCTGCAGGAGGGCGTGAGATCAGGAGGCCAAGGGGAAGCTGTGCCTCTGGTTGGCCTAGGAAGAGCCATGCAGGGAGCTGGTGGCTCCACACTCTGGACACACAGGCCACATCCACAGAATATGTGTCCTCTTCCTGCTGTTCATGCAACCGCACTCCAGCCCGGGTGACAGACTGGGCAGGAGAGAAAGCCCTGTCTCAAAAAAAGAAAAAAAAAAAAAGAAACTATTTATGAGCACTAGAAATGCCAACCATAGTTCCCAAATCTACAAAATAGTCAAGATAATATCTACCATCTTTTCTTTCCTTTCCTTTGTGTGTCTGTGTGTGTGTGAGAGAGAGAGAGAGAGAGATACAGTCTCACTGTAGTGTAGTGACGTGATCTCGGCTCACTGCAAACTCTGCCTCCCAGGTTTAAGCAATTCTCCTGCCTCAGTCTTCTAAGTAGCTGGGACTACAGGCACACGCCACCACACCCAGCTATTTTTTGTATTTTTAATAGAGACCAGGTTTCACCATGTTGGCCAAGCTGACTTCAGGTGATCCACCTGCCTCAGCTGCCCAAAGCGCTGGGATTACACGTGTGAGCCATCACGCCTGGCTTAATTTCTTCACTCACTCACTCATTTATGCATTCAATCCATGAATTTTGAGTGTGTAAGGTGTTGTGGGTTTGGAACTCAGGTCTCCTGATTCCTCAAGCAGGGCATCACACTCTTCTTCCTCCTCCCTCCTCCTCCTCCTCCTCCTCCTCCTTCTCACACTTTCCACAAGTCTGGCTCACATTTTGGTCTTAGCTTGAGCTCTTCCTAAAGCAGAGCCTGAGACAAGGACTCAGGTGCAGGGAGTTGACATGGAATCCATGCCAGGAAACCAAAGTGAGGGCGTAGGAGAGTGAGATCAGGAATGAGAGAAAGCCACTCAGTGTGCATTACTGAGCTGGCTACTGATGTGGCTAACCGGGGCTTGATTCCACTGGGGGCCATGTGAGGAATGGTGCCAAATGCACCTCAAGATTGTCTTGAATGATGATGAGGCTTGGGTGTGTGCCCATGGACCACTGTCCCCCAATCCCCACGCTTTGCTGGGAAAAAATCTCAAGTACAGAAACTGAGAGACACAGTAAAGCTTTCCGTTGGGAAGCCACCATCAAGCATGAAGACAAACCACCAGGGACACAGCTGATGTCAGCGGGGGCCTAAGGGGACGAGGCTCAGAGCAACAGCATTTACTACAGATGCCAAGGGAGAGGCGACGCCTGTCACGAAGCCACGTGGAAACCCCACCCAAACCTGGCACTGGCCAATCAAGGGCGGTGCGCGACTCAGGACAGCTGTCGCGCTATTTTCTTCCAACCTCCTTTCCCGATTTGGAAGGAGGTAACTCCTCCGCGTGAAAACAATAAGAGAAAACAACAGAACTTGGGGACCAATTGATTCAGGCGTGGGAATGGGATGGCAGGCAGCCACAGGTGCCCGAGAGGGAGGCTTCTCGCCAGCTCAGGCACAGGCTGTTCAGAAGTCAGGAAAATGTAAATGGGACATGCAAGGACACAGAAATATGTCTATTAGGACACCTTCTGTGATTCGCATGCTAGGAATTCCAAGAGATAGAGGACACCGCCCCTGCCTCTCTGAGAACCTTTTCCACAGCAAGAGGCAGAGTGCTGCAGGCAGAAGAGTCCCAGCCTTGGAAGCAGAGATCTCGGGTTCAAGTCTTGATGCCACTAATCACACAGAATATTGTGTGCAAAGCTCACAGCTGGGAGGCGCAGTGATGATGTTCGTCATCTGACCTTCATAAGCCATTGCCAGCCTCCATGTCCCACGATGCAGACGAGGCACCTGAGATCAGAGGGTGAGTCACCTGCCCTAGGTCCTGCCTCCCAAACCATCAGACCTCAGACTTGAACTAGGCCTCTTTGAGGCTCAGCTCAAAGGTCCTCTGATCTCATGTTTCTGGAATAAACCCAAAGGCAGCTTTCTGAGTGGAGACACCCACAGGAAGACCTGTGCACTCCCGCTCTGACTTCCTGAGCAGGTGAGGAGGAAGCACACACAGGAAGGGGGGCGACCGTATGACTGGGCTGCATTTCTGGCAGGTGCAAACCACTCCTAGGGTATTGGAAGGAGGCAGGGAGTAAGGACCAGGGCACAGGAGTCGCGGGCTCTGGACTCTGGTCCAAATTCCACTCGCCTTCCGGCTGGTCTTGGTTTTCTCATCAAGGTAATTGGTAGGGTGCCTTCAGGGTCAATGATCTGATGGCCACAAGCTCTGAGAGGTCCGCGAGGGCTGGAGGGGCAGCAAGGCCTCCCTGGGAGCTGGCCTTGGAGGACAGCAGGGATGGGAAGGGAAGGCAACCCTGTCCCCAGGGCTCTAGTGACACTGTAATAAATGAGTACAGACCCCCTGGATTTCAGCACTGAGGACCCTCCGGCTTGTTCCCTAACTCCCAGGACCTCTGGATAAGAAGTGGGCTTTCATTGCACTCTGTCTGGCTCAAATCCCTGCAACCTTCTCACCAGACTCAGGGCCTGACTTCTACTTGGTCATGTATGAGGACTCGGGTGTGTTGAGGTGTGGGAAGAGGCTGGAGGGGAAGGGAAGTCACATGTTCCCCCACAACGTTTCTCAGAGACCTCCTCCTGTCCTGAGGCCATTGGGTGTGTCAGTGTTGCTGGAAATGCTCCCCAACCCCCAATTCCGAGCATTTAGTCTAGGTAGGCCTTGTCGTGGAGCCAGCTTGTGGGCCTGGGCCAGGGGGCGTGTGCTTATTTTCATGGCAGCCTTATATAAAAAGCACAAGGATATAAAAGATTGATGCTAGAATCAGAGACCAGCAAGAGGAAGATGGGCTTGGGACCTGGGGAGCGAAGTCTTAACTCTCAGATTCAGCTACATTTGGATCACCAGAAATCAGATGGTGACAGGTATCTCTCCAATATTATTTTTGAGTGGGCAAAATCTTTAACCTTTCTCCACCTCAGTTTCCTCGTCCCGTACAGGAGATAATAACAGTGCCTCCCTCAAAGGGCTGTTGCGCGGTAAATGAATTAATACTTGTGCAGCACTCAGAATAGTGCCTGGCACATAAGAAATTCTCAATCATCGGGCTGGATGCAGTGGCTCACGCCTGTAATCCCAGCAGTTTGGGAGGCTGAGGTGGGCAGATCACTTGAGGTCACGAGTTCGAGACCAGCCTGCCCAACATGGCGAAACCCCATCTCTACTAAAAATACAAAAATTAGCTGGGTGTGGTGGTGGGCACCTGTAGTCCCAGCTGCTTGGGAGGCTGAGGCAGGAGAATCACTTGAACCCGGGAGGCGGAGGTTGCAGTGAGCAGAGATTGTGCCACTGCACTCCAGCCTGGGTGACAGAGCGAGACCCCATCTCAAAAAAAAAAAAGAAAAAAGAAAAAGAAAAAGAAAAAAGAAATTATCAATCAATGTGAGTAAATCTTTTTGGTTATTATTATGATTATTACTATTAATTTTTTCATTCAAGTACAAGGCCTTGTAGGTGCTCAGTTAGTGTTGAATGAATGATTGAAATAAATGTAACTAGATAAAATGTTAGAAGTAGATGACATCAAAGATTGAAATAAACACTTGCTTTGGCCTCATTAGTTATGATCTGGTGTCTATGGAAACTGCTAAATATTGAGACTCAAAATAGATAGCTTTTCTCTGCACCGAATGAACCAAGGTGTGTGTGTGGTCTCTGCACTTTGTATCCCAAGATGAACCACCTCATTCATCTCTGTCCTCCAGTGAATCCTTCAAGAGCAGGGCCTGTGGCTAACGGGCATTCAGAAACCAAGTGTCTGGCTGTTGGTACACAGCAAGTCCTCATTCCTATTTGTTGAACGCGTGAACAAATGCATGAATATTGTCTGATCGACTCAGGAAATGGCAGGACTGAGCCTTCAGATAAAGGACCTCAGAGCCTTCTTTAGGGAGAGGCTGGGGAAGGCAGACAGTGATTACTTCTTGCAGAGGATTAAGTGGTGAAGAGCCTGGGCTTCGGGGACAATCAAATCTGGGAGGAAATACTGTCTCAGCCACTCCCTAGCTTCGTGAACTTAGGCAAGCTGTTTAATTCCTCCAGGCCTCAGTTTTAACATCTATAAACTGGGCCTAATAATGTTTACTTGTTGTACAGATAAAATGGTCCAATGCACATCAATGTCTGTTTCTCCCTAGGAAGGGAGCCGTACCATCTTCATGGTAGACACGGGGGCAACAACAGTCCTCTCTTATTTCAAGGGATTTGGAACCACCCATGGTACAAGTAGTAATGAAAGAGTTCTTTGTAAACTGTAGAGCGCTCTGCACACGTGAGGAATCATGAGGTGGCTTGAGTAACAAGGAGTTGCAGAGAGAATCCGAACTTGCATCCCTGCTGGGGAAAGTATCCCAACTAGTAGGGATGGGACTCAGAAATGCAAAGACCAGAAAACTGGTGGGGAATTTTAGCCGCAAGACAGGGACTTGGGAGTCAGGCCGCCTGGGTTCAAGACCTATCTTTGCCTGTCTACTTTCTGTGACCTTGGATGAGTGACTTGCTCTTGGGAGGCCTCAATGTGCTTCTTGGGGAAGCTGGGAGGACAGTGAATACTTCATGGGACCGTTGTGGGGATTAAAGGGGACAGAGCGTGTAAAGTGCTCTGTCCAGCATTGGGCTGCAGGAAGTGCCCAGCAAACAGGGTTGCCCCATTTCTCACATTCTCCTTCTCCCATCCACTCTCAAGGCTCAAGGCCTCCTACCTCAGCTTGTCCCTTCTCTGGTTTGCAGAGTCTAAGGAGAACATAAACTAGAAGAACAAGCAAGGGGAGGGCAAGTGGGGTTGACCAAACCTTACAGGCAGGGTCACATGGGGCAGGGACCGTTTTTACCTCCATTTCACAGGGGTGGTCACTGAGACCCTGCTATTTTGACATATGTATGCGCCAGGATGCATACCCAGGTCTGTCCACACGCAAAGCCTGCATTCATTCAGCTCTTCCAGGATCCCACGCCAGCTCTGACTCCAAATGCCGTGGGGGGCCCTGGAGCTGGGGAGGAACACATGGACAGAAACCAAGTGTTTCTAGGGCCCAGCCTGGCACTCCCACCCCTACCTACCCTCACCTCCTACCATCTCCTTCCCCTCTACCCCCCACTATGACCCCTGCCCAGGAGAACTCTTCTGGGCAGGATGGCCCTGCCAGCCTCTCAAGGACATGGGATGGGGCAGGAATCCCCAGCTTGGCCTGAGTCCTTCTCTGCCATAGACAGCAGGTTGTTAGATAATTGCCTTTGTCCCTTATCTCATTCTCACTCTTTATTACTTCCCTGGGGAGATGCTGCAACCACAGCCTCTCTGCAAATGAAGCCAGCCTCCTGGCTGCAAACACAGGCTGAGGGACCACGACTGGGGGAGGAGTGTGAACTGAAGGGGAGAATATACCTTCAGGTGGCAGGGACACCCTGTCCCTCAGCTCAGGGCATGCTGATAGGTTCTGGGAGGCTCCTGGAAGCACACCCAGTGCTTTGCAAAGAAAGCACTGGATCCAGAGAAGAAAGAATCTGGCCATGGGCTCTGCCCAGACTAGCACTTAACCCCTCTGGGTTCCAGGTTCTGTGTGGGTGAGATGAGGACAGCGATGCTCTCCCATGATGACCAAACCAGCTTGAAACTGGGAGGCATTGACTGTTTTGCCTCTGTTCTCATGGCAGCCTCTGTTTTAAAAACAGCTTTATTGGCATACATTTGTGCAGGTTTAAAGGGTGCAATTTGGCAAGTTTTGACATATGTATACACCTGTGAAGCCATCACCACAATCAAAACAGTGAGCACACACCCCTCACCTCCCAAAACTTCCTCTTGCGCCTTTGCAATCGCTTCCTCTCTCCTCGTTCCTCCCTCTCCATCCCCAGGCAACCATAAACCTGCTTTCAGCCACTGCAGATTCATTTGCATGTCCTAGAATTTTATATAAATGGAATTATCCAGAATGTATTCTTTTTGTCTGGCTTCTATTTTGAGATGCATCCATGTCATTGCATATATCAATAGTTCATTTATTTTTATTGCTAAGTAGTATCCCATTATGTGGATATACCACAACTTGTTTATTCATTTATCCATTGATAGATATTTGGGTTGTTTCCATTTTGGGGGTATTACAAATAAAGCTTCCATGAATATTCATGTACAAGTATCCAAACACTTTTATTTCTCTTGGGTAAGTACCTAGGAGTGGAATGGCTGAGTCATTTAGGAGGTATATGTTTCATTTTTAAAGAAACTGACAGATTGCTTTCCAAAGTGATTGTAGCATTTCACGTTCCCACCAGCAGTGTATGGGAGTTCTGCCTGGTGTGGGGGCACATGCCTATAATCCTAGCACTTTGGGAGGCCAAGGTGGGTGGATCACCTCAGGTCAGGAGTTCGAGACCAGCCTGGCTAACATGGTGAAACCCCGTTTATACTAAAAATACAAAAAATTAACCTGGTGTGGTGGCATGCACCTGTAATCCCAGCTACTCAGGAGGCTGAGGCAGGAGAATCACTTGAATCTGGGAGGCAGAGGTTGCAGTGAGCTGAGATCACACCATTGCACTCCAGCTTGGGCAACAAGAGTAAAACTCTGTCAAAAAAGGAAGGAAGGAAGGAAGGAAGGAAGGAAGGAAAGAAAGAAAGAAAAAAGAAAAAGAAAATACCACTGGGACTCGGCATGGTGGCTCACGCCTGTAACCCTAGCACTTTGGGAGGTCAAGGAAGGAGGACTGCTTGAGCCCAGGAGTTTGAGACCAACCTGGGCAACATAGAGAGACATCACCTCTAAATAAAATAAAATAAAATAAAATAAAATAAAATAGAAAAGAAAATACCAGTAGGCATAAAGAAATTTTTTTTAACACGCATAAACCTACCACCTTAACAACTATTGTTAACATGATGTGTGTCTTCAGACATTTTTCATGTACATAGGAAGTTGTACCATACATGTCTTCTGCATTTATATATCATGAATATTTTACCATGTTGTTACATTTCTTTTTGTTTTTTGAGGTGGAGTCTCACTGTCACCCAAGCTGGAGTGTAGTGGTGTGATCTCAGCTCACTGCAACCTCTGTCTCCTCGGTTCAAGTGATTCTCCCGTCTCAGCCTCCCAAGTAGCTGGGATTACGGGTGCCCACCACCACCCCTGGCTAATTTTTGTATTTTTAGTACAGACAGGATTTCACCATGTTAGCTAGGCTGGTATCGAATTCCTGACTTCAGGAGATCTACCTGCCTTGGCCTCCCAAAGTGCTCAGATTACAGGCATGAGCCATTGTGTCTGGCCATGTTGCTATATTTCTAAAGCATCAGTCCAAATGACTGTATAATACTCCATTGTGTATGTGAATTAGTTGATCCCCAGTAGATGGATATCTGGATGTTTTCCATTTGGGGGCTTTCATAAACATTGCCATAAGGAACTTTTATTTTATTTTTCATTTTATTTTATTATTTTGGAGACAGAGTCTCTGTCACCCCAGGCTGGAGTGCACTGCCATGATCTCAGCTCACTGCAACCTCTGCCTCCTGGATTCAAGTGATTCTCATGCCTCAACCTCCCAAGTAGCTGAGACCACAGGTGTAGCCACCACACTGGCTAATTTTTTATTTATTTATTTTTTTTGCATTTTTAGTAGAGATGGGGTTTTGTCATGTTGTCCAGGCTGGTCTTGAACTCCTGAGCTCAGGTGATCCACCCGCCTCAGCCTCCCTAGCACCTCCCAAAGTGCTAGGATTACAGGTGTGAGCCACCACACCCAGTCTGAACATCTTTATATACTCATATTTGCATCCTTGATGAATGTCTGGGTTTGAGGGCATGCACATTTTAAGACTTTTTTTTTTTTTTGAGACGGAGTCTCGCTCTGCTGCTCAGGCTGGAGTGCAGTGGCCGGATCTCAGCTCACTGCAAGTTCCGCCTCCCGGGTTCACACCATTGTCCTGCCTCAGCCTCCCGAGTAGCTGGGACTACAGGCGCCCGCCACCTTGCCCGGCTAGTTTTTTTTTTGTATTTTTTAGTAGAGACGGGGTTTCACCATGTTAGCCAGGATGTTCTCGATCTCTTGACCTCGTGATCCACCCATCTCGGCCTCCCAAAGTGCTGGGATTACAGGCTTGAGCCACCGCGCCCGGCCTTCCCTCTCTTTCTTACACCACATGAAGAAGTCAAAACTTTTCATTCATTCATTCATTCAGTCAATCAGCCTTCCATATCATCATTACCATCCTTTTCATCTTCCTCTTTTCCTCTTCCTCCAAGGCACTGGTCAAGAGAGACCCTGCCTTCCTCTGAAGCAGTCTCACCAACTGGCTTAGAGCTCTCTGAAGTCTCCCCAGGCACTAGAGAGCAAGCTCTGTGAGAAGAGGGGCCCTGCCTGTGTTGTTAGTCACCGCATCTCCAACACCAAACACTGGGCCTGGCACATAGTGAGTGTTCAAATAAATAGTTGTTGAATTAATACATGAATGAGTGAAATACTAAATGGTCATTGAACTGAACTGAGTATTCTCCCAAGTTAGTAATGGGGAGGGGCTTCTGCTTGTGGGGCCCACTCTTATCGCAGAAGGACATCCCAAACACTTGCTCCTCTGCACACAGTTCCGACTGGCAGATGAGAAAACTGAGGCCCAAAATGTTTAAGAACTATGCTCAAGGTTGCAAAGTGAGCTCTGCTCAGAGAAGCACCTGCGTCCCCACGCCCCTTTCCCAGGACTAGGTTTTCTTTCTTCGTTAGGAGGTGAGGTTGGGCTTGGAGGTCCTGGAGTGTTTGTTTGTTTGTTTGAGACACAGTCTTGCTCTGTTGCCCAGGCTGGAGTGCAGTGGTGCAATCTCGGTTCACTGCAACCTTCACCTCCCGGGTTCAAGAGATTCTCCCGCCTTGGCCTCCCGAGTAGCTGGAGAACTACAGGCATGCACAACGACACCCGACTAATTTTTGTATTTTTAGTAGAGAGGGGTTTCACCATGTTGGCCAGGCTGGTCTCGAACTCCTCAAGTGATCTTCCCACCTCAGCCTCCTAATATGCTGGGATTACAGGTGCCACACCCACACCCACCCCACATCTGGAGTTTCCTGTATGCATCTTTTGTTCTTCCTTTCTGCTATCAGCAAGGCTATGAGGGACACAAGGTGACCTCCTGAGGACCTTTCTGGCCCTGTGATTCTGGGACAAATGCACTTGAGGCTCGGCTCCCCACTTTTGTAAAAATTCTCTGGCCTCTCAGTATCATTGTTCTGTGCCTACTGTGGCATTTATTATTTATTAGCACTCAATGCCTCAGGAGGAAGATCTCTCACTGGGATCTCAGGATGAGGTGGCTGCAACACCCAGGGAGGTCCAGGCTTAAGCTAGGGATTTATCTACCCACTGGCCCTGAACCACTTATCCTGGAGCTGGGAGCCAAGGGGACTGATAGGAGAGGGAGGCTGTGGATTCTTCTAAGCCCCTTCATCAGGGATATGACAGCAGCTGGAGGCCCCTGAGATCCTCCATGCTGGAAAGGCTCCCTGGTTCTGAGGCCAATTCGGTAGCCTTTGCTGTCCTTAAAACCTCCTGTTCAGGCACAGACCTACTCCAGAATGTGTAGACACCACCCCACTGCTTACATTTGGGACCAAGTGCTTTTTATCATGTGACTTCCACCAGGAAAGCTGGGCTATGGGTAAGGTCACTGCTACACGAGAGATGAGGAACAGGTGTTTTGGATGCCCTTCTGTGATGGAAGCAGGTCTCACAGGCAGAAGCCCTCCCCTTATTACTAGCAATTGAAGTCAGGCCATCCTGAGAAACTGCCTTTGAGCTTGATGCAGGGAATGACCTAGATTTTCTTGTTTATTTTAAAGAGTTTGGGAGGGAACGTCCACAGAGATATGGGAGACAGGGGCATTGAATCAGGAGCTACCATTTCAGCAAAGAAAGGGATCTCTGACGTAATCGAGTCCAAATCTTCTGCACCATCACTCCCACCATTTTATTTATTTATTTTTTTATTTTTTGAGATAGAGTCTCGTTCTGTCACCCAGGCTAGAGTGCAGTGGTGAGATCACAGCTCACTGCAGCCTCCACTTCCTGGGATTGATTGATCCTCCTCCTTCAGCCCCCTGAGTAGCTGGGGCTACAGGCATGTGCCATCATGCCTAGCTATTTTTTTTTCTACTTTTTGTAGAGATGGGAATCTCACTATGTTGCCCAGGCTGGTCTTGAGCTCCTGGGCTCAAGGGATCCTCTGCGTTGGCCTCTCAAAGTGCTGGAATTACAGGCATGAGTCACTGTGCCTAGTCACTGCCATAATTTTAAAAAGAGAAAATTGAGGCCAATATAGGTGAATTGGCCTCTCTAAGTTCACCCAGTCAGTAAGAGGTAAAGCTAATACGATGTTTATAAAATGATGCAAAAAGGTGGGAATGCACTCCTTCATGGAGCACATTGGGTCTTAAAATCGTAAAAATATTGTGAGGGACACGATGGAGGAGACGCTGACTCCACCTCCAGTTTCTCAGAGGTGAAAAATGTCTGACTATTGGAAATATGATAAATCTCCATGAATTTTTGAGAAACAAAGCCATGATTCTAATTAATCTGTCGTTATCTGAAATTTTCAAAAGTTTAAACAGCTGGGGAAAAAAGGGTAAGATGTTAAAACTATAACCCCTGGGAGTTGTTAGATAAGAGTCACCAAACCAGTACCCAGCTTTCCTCTGCAGAAGGTGTTGGTTCAGGACCACGGACAGCAGCCTGCGAACCTTGAGCGCTGTATTCCGCCCACACTGGGGCAAACCCACAGAGCCTCGCTTGACCTACTCATCTTTACATGAAGAGCCAATGTGAGTACTATTCACAGGGTGAAACACAGGCAGGAGATCCAGAAAGGACCCCCCGTCATCCCCATCAAACACCTCC